GTGGCTGCACATATTTTCTGCACCTTTCAAGCTTTACTATATAAGACAAGTTAGGGGTTATATGTGCCTCCCTATACCTGACAAATGAGATACCTAAGACTGTTGATAACAGCAAGAATATAAAGGACTGCAGAAGGTATTATCAAATGCATATATAGCACCTGCGAATTAACTCACGGTCCTTGCATGTATACTCTGTGTATCCGAAGTGTAAAGACCGATTAGGGGGTTATGTGTGCTTCCCCATGTGCCTGCAAATTAACTCACGGTCCTTTGCATGTTACTCTGTGTATCCAAACAAATCCATCGCACCATCCTTCATAAGAAAAGTGGTAGAGATGTTGGAGAGAAGCATTGAGTCCTTGAGATTCCACCTAAACCATTCTTCGGTCCTCCGATTGGTGACTCGCCGGCCTCACCACTCCTTTTTACGGCAAACTTCTTGAATCAACGCACGCCATTAACGATCGCAAATCTCAGATCACCAGGCCATAAAAAAAAAAAAAAAAACAGAAATCCAGTGACAACATCAGTGAAAGCTTGGCAGGACCAAGTATACAAGTACCGTAGGTAAACCATCTCTGTGTTTCTCAAGCTATTTTTCTTCTTCTTCAGACCTTCACACATGGCGCTAGCTCCTTGATTCTAGACACAACGAGCAAAGCATAACGCTATTGTGTAGGCTCTTTTCACCACTCTCAATAACTTTTTTTTTTTTTTTTTTTTTTGTGGTTCGGATGCTAGCCAAGAAACCATATCTCATCTGGTAGTTCGTAGTTGTGTAAGTTCATGACCTGTTGAAGATCCTCTTCAATGGCATGTGCAGGAATTTATTATAAACACCCCCAGAGAGAACTGCATTCTAGGTGACAGCTCTCTTCCTTGAAGTCTAACCCACCAGCAGACCAAACAAATCAAATTGAAGAATTATAGAACCAAAGCTGTAGAACTGTAGAAGAAACCTCGGACGGCAGCAACAGGTTTTAGACGCTCCAGCATCGACAAGAAAAGTAGCAACAACAGACGTGGTCCGGTTTCCTCTAGTCATTTTCTCAAGCAAAGCCTGATAATGTTGCCAATCTGATAGATTCTGAACCTTACTGTGTAGGCTTCTTCACCATCAGGATTTTTTTTTTTTTTGGCGAAAATATATATTATGTATGTGTATATGTGAATGCATGTTGTGCCTCCTCACAACCGGTTGGTGCGTTCTCCTTTTCTCTAAATTGTACGGTGTGTCCTCATCTTCTCAGGACTGTTCATAATAACATCGGTCTGTCGTTGTCAAGAGGACTGTTCATAATAACATCGGTCGGTCGTTGTGATTGACAGGGCTTTGTTTTGCAGCTGGCCATTTTGGCCAGCCGGGACAAAGCCGGTCGGTCACCAGGCTTTGTTTTGTGGCTGGCCATTTTGACCAGCCGTGACAACGCTGGTCGGTCATTATGACCAACCAGGCTTCGTTTTGTGGCTGGCCAAAATGGCCAGCTGTAGTTTTTTGCTCCTTTTTTTTAATTGTTATTTATTTTTTATATATATTGTGTAGGTAAATATACATGCATATGTACGTATGTATTTTGGAGAATATTTTCTTTCTTCTCTTTTATTTTTATTTTTTGTTTTTGTTTTTCTTTTTTATGGCAAAAATATACGCATGTAATTTGACGCATTTTACTACCTTTTTTCAGGAATACGTGTGGCTCTTCGGCTCTTGCGTTTGTTATTTTGCGATTAGTTCCCCACTCATTCGTCCTTTTGTTGTCTTCTTTGGGGCGGTCCTATGCCTAGGGTAATTTATTCTTCTTCCGAGTCGCAGTCCGCATCCGGACCTTCTTCTATTGTTCCTGAGGACTCTTCTTCCTCGATGCTAGCTCACTTGCTTTTGCAGGTGGCTCCTCGGGGCCATCTGTGGCGCCTAATACATTGTCTGGCCGGCTCGAGTCTAGTCCCGTATTGCTGTCTTCCCCCTCCCCTTCCCCTTTGCAGATAAGTCGATCCTCAGGCATTTGTTTGCCTGCTTCTCCCTCGTTTTCTCCCTTGATGAGAGGGCCGGGTAACTCTGAGGATATTGGTCATCTCACCTCTCGTACGTCTGTGTTGGATTTTGCACATTGCGAGTATATCCGTGTGCTACTAGGTCCTTCGGTTGATGTAGTTTTAGATAGGTCGCGGTTCATTCATGATCCTCCCGAGGGTGGTTATGTGGGCCTATCTTTTACAGCAGTTGTATATGGATTTCGCATTCCCCCTCACCCACTATTTAACGAGACCTGCAGATACTTCCGTTTGGTTCCCGGTCAGTTGACTCCTAGGTCTTTTAGATTCTTAGTGGATTTTCTCGGGCGGTGTCGTCATCTCGATGTTCCTCCTACTCTTGCTCTTTCACGCAACTCTTTCATGTCGCTGCAGTGGGGTCCCAATCGCCGGGTTCTATCCAGTTCTCCCAGCGTGACGGCCTGCATTTTTTCAATGGTGCTACGCAGTCCGTCAAACACTGGAAGGAGAGTTTTGTTTTTGTTCGCCTTGCTGAAGGTACCTTTGACTTCTCCATTTCTTGGCCTTCCTCTTATTTCAAGTTAGACCGTCCGCATGCGCCGACTGGGGTGTTAGCCCGGCACATTCAGGCTTTCCGTAACTTTGGTCTGTGTTCAAACTCTGTTTATTATTTTTTATTTTTAAAATTTTTATTTATTTTTTATTTATTATTTTTTTTAATCATCCGCCTTGCTGATTATTTCTCTATTTTTCAGCTAGCCTTGGCGTGGGATCGGATTCAGAGGCGGATACTCTTCCTATTCCATTGACTCGCCGACTGGATACGGTGATGGCCACCCGTGCGGAACTTCTTCGTGCGCAGTTTCGTCGCTAGACTCGGTCATAAACCGTTCAGCCTCCTCCTTCCCCGTACCCCTCGACAGAAAATTCTCAGGACAAGGGTAAAAGACCCGAGGGGGGGTCTTCAGGTTTATTCCCTCCTTCCCCAGTTAATGATGTTGGCGCGGGGCTCGGTTTAGGTTCCTCCGAGGCCGCGGTGGCCCCGTCAGATGGGGGGCAGGTTCGTCGACAGGTTTTGCGGAAGAGGGCTCGGGAGGAGTCCGACTAGGGTGGGCAGGTGCCACCGGAGTCGAAGTCGCGACCTCTGACCCTGACTGTGGATGGTTGGGAGAATTCCACCATGAGTGGCAAACGGCTTAACTTTAATCCCGTGGAGTGGGGAAATGGTGTTATCTTCCCTCTCGATCGGCAAGCTCTGAAGTCTCTTGGGATTGACGATCTTCACAAACGGTTGATTGCTCAGCTTTATCGGGTGCGTTCATAATTGTCATAGCCTTCCTTTGGTTGTTAGGCTTTCTTTTATTATTCTCTTCTTTCTAACTCGCTGGGTATTTTTCCTGTGACTAGGCTGCTTCGGTTGGCATGGAGACCTTCGAGCGTTATCGAGCGTGTTCTTCGGAGGCAGGGGATCTCCGCGCCCGAGTAGATGAGTTGTCTGCCCAGCTGACTGATCTTTCTTCCCGTTACCAGGGTCAGGTGCGCGAGGTGGAGCTTGGCTTGGCAGCCAGAGTTGCGGCTCTACGGGCGCAGCGGGCTGCCGAGGAGGGTCGTTGAAGGATGGAGGAGTTGCTTCGTTCTACCGTAGAGGATTATCGTGGTTCGGAGCTTTTTAGGCAGGATGCTTTGGAGGCGATTCGTCAGACTCCTGAGGATTTGGCGAGAATCAGCAAAGAGTGGCTGTCTACTCCCGCAGGTGTTCAGTATGTTAGTGTCATGACGTCGGAGGACTATTATGAGGGGATGCGACATATGCAGAAGGATATCTATGGTATTATGAAGTCTGCTAATCCCCATTTTAAGCCGGTAGACTTGGGTTTCCCACCTCCTTACCATCACTGGGTTGATCGTCATTTGAATGAGGAGCCTTCTGCGCCGATGGGTGTTGCCCCTGTTGTGCCTCCTCCTGGATTCGAGCCATTGCTGAGTGCGGGCGGAGGAGGAGAGAACCCTTTGGATCCTGGTTTCCTTACTTCATCTGCCGACCTTCAGGAACTCGTTGGCGTTTCCTTTGGGGAGTTGGACCCCGGCGAAGCTAGGCAGGGGGATACCCCAGGTTATGCTTCCGCTCCTTAGGGTACATGTGGCCTACTTCTGGTGGTTGTGGCGACTTCGACATTCTTGCCTTGTCACTTTTGCCCATACGCCGGGTAGTTGATGATTTGGTCCTTTTATTTTGTGTTTTTGTCTGTACACCGGATGATTGATGTCTTAGTCGCTCTATTTTGTCTGTACACCGGATAGTTGGTGCCTTAGTCGCTCTATTTTGTCTGTACACCGGATAGTTGGTGTCTTGGTCGCTCTATTTTGTTTATTTTGCATGTACACCGGATAGTTGGTGCCTTGGTCGCTCTATTTTGTTTATTTTGCATGTACACCGGATAGTTGGTGCCTTGGTCGCTCTGTTCTGTATATGCTGGTTTTAGTTTTAACTCATCAACTTTTTGGCCACCCTGCTCAACTATCGAGAGCATCTTCCGTTCTTTGTCATTATGTTGTTCTACCAAAGGTTTATTAAGAATGTCTCCCGTTCTCTGACAGTATGCCCATCCACCAGTGGCTATTGAGAACATCTCCCGTTCTCTGCCAGTATGCCCATCCATCAAAAAGCTATTGAGAACGTCTCCCGTTCTCTGCCAGTATGCCCATCCATCAAAAGCTATTGAGAACGTCTCCTGTTCTCTGCCAGTATGCCCATCCATCAAAAAGCTATTGAGAACGTCTCCCGTTCTCTGCCAGTGTGCCCATCCATCAAAAAGCTTTTGAGAACGTCTCCCATTCTCTGTTGTTATGCCATTCCACTGATGGCTTTGGAGAACGACTCCCGTTCTCTATTATTATGCCATTCCACCAATGGATTTTGAGAATGTCTCCCATTCTCTGCCAGTATACCGTTTCGCCAATGGTTATTGAGAACGTCTCCCGTTCTTTGTCAGTATGCCCATCCATCAAAAAGCTATTGAGAACGTCTCCCGTTCTTTGCCAGTATGCCCATCCATCACAAAGCTATTGAGAACATCTCCCGTTCTCTGTAAGTGTGCCCATCCATCAAAAAGCTATTGAGAACGTCTCCCGTTCTCTGCCAGTGTGCCCATCCATCAAAAAGCTTTTGAGAACGTCTCCCGTTCTCTGTTGTTATGCCATTCCACTGATGGCTTTGGAGAACGTCTCCCGTTATCTATTATTATGTCATTCCACCAATGGCTTTTGAGAACGTCTCCCGTTCTCTGCCAGTATACCGTTCCGCCAATGGTTATTGAGAACGTCTCCCGTTCTTTGTCAGTATGCCCATCCATTAAAAAGCTATTGAGAACGTCTCCCGTTCTCTACCAGTATGCCCATCCATCACAAAGTTATTGAGAACGTCTCCCGTTCTCTGTCAGTGTGCCCATCCATCAAAAAGCTTTTGAGAACGTCTCTCGTTCTCTGTTGTTATGCCATTCCACTGATGGCTTTAGAGAACGTCTCCCGTTCTCTATTATTATGCCATTCCACCGATGGCTTTTGAGAACGTCTCCCGTTCTTTGTCAGTATGTACTCTATTTGACTGCTTTCTACTGACGCTGTTTAATACTCTAATGACTTCTAGACTCAGCCCTATGTCCTATGACGCCCCGATTATTCTCCTAGAGCCTCTAGATACTACACTAAACCCTTCACCCTTAACTCCCCATTATTAGATTCTCCGCCACCTGATATTGTAGGGCTCTTTATCCCAGTAGCCCCATTCAATTTGTTTCACTGTGATCTGATTATTGCTTCATGCATGAACTTGTTGTATATTTATCCATCGAGCGTTGGGTGGACCGCCGATTTGTGGTAAGATGAATTGGCTATTGATTTGTCGAAATGACCAGTTGGGGTGACTAGCCGGGGTGATCGACCGTAAGAATTCTGGGGAGGTTCAGGTTGGTTTGGATAGGGTGTGAGTTTGTTAGCCCCTTGTGGGGCTAACTACGACCTAGCGTCTTTGAAATGTTGTAATGTGTTATGTTTTTGCGAATCATGAGATGTGTAATCCGAAATAAAGATATTTTATTACGAAACTAATAAAGGTAAGTAGTACATAATGATATTTGTTATGAAATTCTCAAGTGGGCTACTGGTAAAACCTCTTGAGGCGATTTGAATTCCAAATACGCTCGATCAGCTTGCCTTCCATAGTTTCCAACTTGTAGGTGCCTGGTCTGATGATTGCCGAGACTCTGTAGGGGCCCTCCCAGTTCTTGGCTATTTTCTCGCCTTGATTTGGTAGGGCGGCTTGTCTATCTCTGAGTACTAGGTCCCCTATGTCAAAGTACCTAGGCTTTACGCGTGCATCGTGGTATCTTTTCACAGCTCGTTGATATTCTGTCATTCGGTGCTGAGCTGCGTCTCTCCGCTCTTCGAGGAAATTCTTTTCTAGTTACAGTAGCTGCTCATTAGCCTAATCCTCATATTGTTGCACCCTATTCGTGGGGCATAGGACCTCGATAGGGACCTTGGCCTCGAACCCATACGTGAGGCTGAATGGGGTTTCCCCGGTTGCCTGTCGCGGTGTGGTTCGATGAGCCCATAGGATGTGGTCGAGTTGGTCCACCCATGCACCACCTTCTTCTTCTATTCGTTTCTTTAGTCCATCCATGATTGTTCTGTTCGCGTTTTCTACTTGCCTGTTTGCCTGGGGGTAAGCCACCGATACCTTGGTGTGCTTGATAGAATAATTTTCACAGAATTCTGCGAAGTCCTTGCAATCGAACTGTCGGCCATTATCAGTGATGAGATGCTCAGGCAGGCCAAAACGGCAGATCACCTTCCTCCACAGGAATTTGCGACACTGGTAGTCTGTGATGGTTACCAATGGTTCGGCTTCGATCCACTTAGTGAAGTAGTCGATGGCGACTATGCAGAACTTGTGGTGCCCTGGCGCTTGGGGTAGTGGTCCCAGGAGGTCTACACCCCACTTAGTGAAGGGTATGGCTGTGGTGACCGGTGTGTAGAAGGTGGCCGGTCAGTTTTGCTTTTCTGCAAACTTTTGACAAGTATGACAACTTTGAATCCTTTGGATGCAATCTTGTGTCATGTTGGGCCAGTAATATCTTTGGACCAGTAATTTTCTGGCCAGGGTGTTCGCTCCCTGGTGAGCTGCACATATCCCGCTGTAGGCTTCCTCAATTACTTGTTTGGCTTCGCTTGGTGGTAGGCATTTTAGTAGGGGTCCCCCGAAGGATCTTTTGTACAGCTGGTTGTCTACCAATTGGTAGGCTGGGGCCCTTCGCTTGACTTTTGCGGCCTGTACAGGATCAGACGGAAGTTCTGCTTTCGTGATGTATCTGGTTAGGTCTCCTATCCAACTATCCGGGGACTGGATGCCTACTGAGGCTACCATTGCGATCAAGAGGGATTCTGTGCTGGGCGCGTGGATGACCTCTCTCTTGCATATGTGTGTTAAGTGTCCTGGGGTACCTCCCAGGGAGATCTTCGAGAGTATGTCAGCTTCCATGTTTTCCGTGCGGGGCACGTGTTGTATTTCGTAAGCGGCCAATTTTCCCAGTAATCCTTCAGTAACATCCTTGTACATCCTCAAGTTCTCCCCTCTGGTCTCGAAGGTTCCTTTGATTTGTCCTACAACGAGTCGTGAGTCTGTTCGAATGCGAAGGTTACGTGCTCCAAGGGCGGTCGCAAGTCGTATTCCTCCGATCACTGCTTCATATTCTGCCTCATTGTTTGATGCTTTGAACTGGTATTCTAGGGCATAGTATACTTTGAACCCTTCTGGTGAGGTTAGCATGATTCCCCCTCCATAGTGTTTAGTGTTGGCTGCTCCGTCTGCACTCATTTCCCACCAGGTATTCTGGCTGAAATCACTTGTGCTCCCCCTTTGGTCTCTTGCTGTACACTCCACGATGAAATCGGCCAGGGCCTGTGCCTTAATGGAGGGTCGGGGTTTGTACTCAATCCCATATTGGGTCAACTCCATAGCGCATTTCACCATTCGACCGGAGGAGGTGGGGCTCCTCAGGATGCCGGCGAGTGGTTGGTCTGTGAGCACCTCTACGGGGTGGGCTTGGAAGTATGGGACTAACTTCCGTACTGTGGTGATCAGGGAGTAGACCATCTTCTCCAAGGGTGTATATCGGGTTTCTGCCCCTCTTAGTAATTTGCTGATATAATATATTGGATGCTGTAGCTTCTCTTCTTCCCGCACCAAAACGGAGCTCACTGCCTGCTCCGATACCGCCATGTAAAGGTATAAGGTTTCACCTCCTTTGGGTTTGGCTAGTAGGGGTGGGGATAACAGATATTTCTTTAACTCCTCGAACGATGCTTGACATTCAGGGGTCCATTTGAACCCCTCTCTTCTTTTGATCACTTCGAAGAATGGTAGAGAACGCTCTGCCGATTTGGAGAGAAAACGGCTAAGGGCTGCCAGTCGTCCCGTCAGTTTTTGGATTTCCAGTAGGTTGGTGGGCGGTTGCATATCAAGTATGGCTTTTATTTTCTCGGGGTTTGGTTCTATCCCTCTCTGTGTGACCATGTATCCTAGGAATTTTCCCCCACGGACAGCGAATGCGCATTTCTTTTGATTCAATCTCAGTTTGTATCTTTCCATGAGTTGGAAGCATGCTCTAAGGTCCCGAGAGTGTTCGGGGGCTTCTTTGCTTTTTACCAGCAGGTCGTCGACATAGGCTTCCATGCTTTTCCCAAGCAAGCTGTGAAATATTTTGGAGACCATCCTTGTAAATGTTGCTCCCGCATTTTTCAGGTCGAACGGCATCACCTTATAGCAATAGACTCCATCAGGTGTTAGGAACGCCGTTTTGTCTTCGTCCTGTTCTTCCATAAATATTTGGTGGTAGCCCCGAAGGGCGTCCATGAAACTAAGTAGTGCGTAACCGGCGGTTTGGTCTACCAGTTGGTCTATTCGTGGTAAGGGCAAGGGGTCCTTAGGACATGCCTTGTTGAGATCAGTATAATCAGCACACATTCTCCATGCTGGGGGCTTGGGTACTAACACAACGTTAGCCACCCAAGCGGGATAGGTGACTTCCCTGAGGTGACCGATCTCTAGTAGGGTGGCAACTTCTTTTTTTTACGAATTTTCTTCGGTTTGTCGGTAGGTGTCTCTTCCGTTGCATGACTGGTCGGGTAGCCGGATTGACGGATAAGCGGTGGGTGATAACCGACCGGTCAATTCCGGGCATGTCTTCGGGTCCCCAAGCGAATAGGACTTTGTACTCTTTCAGTGTTTGTAAGATGCTCAGGCAGATCTCTTCTGTTAGCCCTTTGCCTATCTTGATCGTTCTATCTGGTCTGGAGTCCTCCAAAGCTACTTCTTCTAAATCAGCTACGGGTTCCGGCCTTTCCTTAGTCTCCTCTCCTTTGGTTTTCTCGGTGATAGCTTGGACCTGTAGGTCGCGTCTCCCAATCTGCTGGCAAGAGAGGAGGTAGCATGACCGGGCCACATGGCGATCGCATTTAGCGATCCCCACTCCTTCGGGTGTTCGGAATTTTAAACACAGATGCTCGAGCGACACCACAGCCCCCAGATCCTCTAAACCCGGACGTCCTAGGATTACGTTGTGCGCGGAATTGATGTTAACAACCACGAACTCCATGTCTAGGGATCGGACCCTTGGGTATTCTCCTATTTCCACGGGCAAGGTGAGACACCCCTCAGCCTCTATGCTATCTCTGGTGAACCCAGCAAGTGGTGTCCGCACCAGGTGTAGTTGTTCTTTGGATAGTCCCAGTTTGTTAAATGTCTCGAGGTACATGACATTGGCACTGCTGCCAGTGTCTACAAATACTCTCCGGACGGTGGTCCCGTTGATGTCCATGGTGATGATGAGGGCATCGCGGTGTGGAGTTGGGCCGTTCGGGAGGTCTTCATCTGAGAAGGTGATGATGTCCCTCCGACCTTTCTTGATGGGGGGTCTATGTTGCACTGCGCCTACAATAATTGTCTAGCCCAACGTTTCCTTTCGCGAGAGCTATCTCCCACCGCAGGCCCGCCACAAATCATGTGGATCACACGCTTGTGTTTTCAGTTCCGATCGTCTTGCTCTTCTGGATTCCCCTCTTCTTGGTCTTTCTGTTGGGGCATATCCTTAAGTCCGGTGGGAGGGCCCCGGGCTGGTACCCATGGAAGTTTTCTTCATTGGTTGGGGCGAGCAGTTGATCGTCCTTTCTAGATAAGCTCCTCGATTTCTTTTTGTAGGGTAGTACATTCTTCGGTAGAATGTCCCGTGGACCTGTGATATCGACAGTATCTGGCTCTTCCCGTGGCTGGCCGTTCCTCTGCTTTTGTGGGTGGTGGCGGTAGGTTCTCTGTAGGTCGGGGTGGTTGGACTTCGTGCACGTGCCTCGCCCCGAGGGCGGGGACTGCCCTGTGTCGAGGGGGAAGTGGCCCCCGAATGACGTTAGATCTCTCTTCCCGTTTAGACGGTCGGTCCAACGGACGTGTTCTCGTCTCGTCACGGGGTCGTTTCGCTTCTCGCCTTATTTTCTGTCACAAAGCCTCTTCTGTTTCCGCATATTTGTTGGCCCTCTGGATGGCCTGTGCATACGTGTCGGGGGTCTCCCTTCGCAGACTAGTGAACAGATCCCCTGACCGGAGGGCTTCCTTGAATAAAGTGAGGGTCGTTCGATCGTCCAGATCTTCCACAGCCTGTACTTCCTTCTGCCATCTTTTTAAGAACTCTTTTAGTGTCTCAGCTTCTCCTTGTTGTATGGTAGTTAGGGTCATGAAGTGCTTTGCTTTCATGCTTCCTGCAAAGTAGGTTAGGAATTGCTCGGCTAGGGTTCCGAAACGGTCGATGGACCCTGGCAGTAGAGATAGTAACCAACGCTGCGCTGCCCCACCTAGAGTTGAGAAAAAGGCGCGACAGTACATAGGGTCCTCCTCCCCTATTACCATCATCTTTGCCTGGAAGCCGACTAAGTGATCGCTGGGGTCCCCCGTTCTATCGTAAGTAGGCATTGTCGGACACTTGAAGTCTCTTGGCGCGCGATATTCTTGGATTTTCATAGAGAATGGACTGGTAGACAACAGAGATCGAGCGGTTGGTCAATCTCCCCTGCCTTTGACCTTCCTTTGGAGGTCTCTCACCTCCCTGGCGAGTTCTGCCATCTCTCGATCTCGGTTCCCCTGACCAAGTTCTGGAGTCTCCCCACTACCCTCCACCATGTCTTGCAGAATTCTTCTTCGATCGGGATCTCCTTCCCTTGCCCCTCCCATGTGAGAACCGGTTGCCTGGATGACCTCTACCCGTCGTTGGGGGTTGAGCCTGACTCTTTGTTGTGGGCATTCTACCGGGGGGTTTCCGAGTTCAGGCTGTGGAATGGTTGTCTGTTGATTCAGGGGCCCTATGCGATCAAGGACGGAGACTGCACGACGGGGTCCCTGGGGTGGAACCGATCTCTGTGTTCTTTCAGGCGGTAAGTTCATGTTGGGTAGTCGGTTGCCGGTGATCTGGGTGGTTTTGTTTACCCGGGAAGGTTCTGGGGATCCTGCCCTTGCGGTCTGGCCATGATGTAGGGCCTCCAAGTAGCGTGCGGCGGCCTCTACTATCTCGGGGGTGAGTTCCACTGGCTGGGTCCGTGGGACACTAATGGCCGGTGGGCGTGCGTTCGAATGGACATCCTCTTCTTCTCGGGGACCTCCCCGTTCAGCCTCCCTCTCCAAGGCAATATGCTGATCGTTCGGTACCTGCGAGGGGGGGCGACTGAGGGTTTCTCTTAAATCTCTGACTGGTCTAGCGACTGGTTGGTCAGTTCGAGTATTTCGTCTCGTAGTTACCATGCTTTCAGGGTTTGAGGAACGAATGATAACTTTTCGTATCGATCCCCACAGACGGCGCCAATGTTGGTTTTATGACTTTTGGGCAGTCAACGACAGGCCAACACTACCGTTATAACAACGAGAATATAGGAGAAATATATGGCGAAAATATAGGAATGTTGTATTGATGAGTATTGCTCGTGAATTGCTGAGAGTTGTCCCTCTCCTCTATGTTAGAGGTCTTATTTATACATGTTTTGGGCCTAGAGCCCTACAAGGAATAAGAATTATAGACTGCCTCATATTGGGTGTCTTGGTTACATGATGAGACCTAATTCCATTATACTAGAAATAATGGGTCCAATTTTAGTTATAATGGGAATAATAGGCCCAATCCTTGACAAACTCTTGGGTTGCTTCACCATGTGCGTCTTTCTTGGGCTTCTTTGATTCAGTTGCTTTCTTGGGCCGATCCCTATGGCCCAAGCCTAGTATATTATCCATCAAGTTATAAATTCAACCTAGGAACATCCTTCTTTAAGGAATGTACTTGAGTGGATATTTGGTATATTCAAATTAAGATTTATGATTTTCAAATCATCATCTCCATTCCCTTATAATACTCAAGTAGAACTTGTACTAGCTTGTGCAGGGCAATATAATTTTCTTCGCAAGGAGTGTCATAGCAATGAGTTTTCAATTGTGCTAGATAATAATGAATCTCCTTCACCTTTACCAACCAATGAGGTAGATAATTTTAAACAACTATTTGAAACTCAAGAGCAACAACAAGAGAATGCAAATGAATGGAGGGCTAAAATAGCTTTGATATGTGGAGAGACACCCAAAAAAGTGAAATCAATGCCAATCAATGATAATTGTACTAACAAAAAGAAGACTTTAATTCATATTTTTTTCATTCTAGACATTTTGATAATTATATAACTCAACATTAGTTGTTTCATTAGTTCAAGAAATATTTTTATTGGTTATATCATTTAGTGAAAGGATTTATATATTTATATATTAAATGCATGAAGTAAAATGCTCCTTGAAATTAAGGATAACCCATAACCAAATTGGTTGTTGTTATATTTCCTAATCTAAACAAAATACAAATTGTGTATATTCCTAGTAATATTTTATGAAGCAATTTGATAAGTTAAGGTAATCTAACATGAACCAAATGCTTCCTGTGTAATAATACTATATTTGTCTACAATAATAACTTACTAATACTCCGTACATGATGTATCACTATTGTAATCGTTTTTTCTTTTTTTTTTTTTTAAACTTACCTATATAATGAATTTTTTATTAATTTGTAGCGAGGTGAATCAATTCATAACAACTCATGATAGTTTCTATATATATTAAAGCAAAATAATTGTCCAAAAAATTTTCCCTCCAAATGTGAAAATATTTATTATATTCATATTAATTTATAAATAGATTCATGTAATTCCCAAAAATTTTCCCTCCAAATGTGAAAACATTTATTGTATTCATATTAATATATAAATAGATTCATGTAATTTATCATGTTGAGTAAAAGAAGAAAATAATATTGATTATTATTATTATTATTATTATTATTATTATTATTATTATTATTATTATTATTATAATATATAGATAAATATATAGATTATAGTAATTACTATAGTAATAATAATTCACATATAGAACAAATTTTTCACATACAGAAATACGGAGTCATGCATCCTATTAGCCTTAACGAATTATTATTACTATAATTACTATTTAATATAATAATAATAATAATAATAATAATAATAATAATAATAATAATAATAATAATAATAATAATAATAATAATAATACTATACTATAATAACGAATTAGTAAATTTATAAATAAATTCATGTAATTCATGTAATTTATCATGTTGAGTAAAAGAAGAAAATAATATTGATTATTATTATTATTATTATTATTATTATTATTATTAGTATTATTATTATTATTATTATTATTATTATTATTGTTGTTGTTGTTGTTGTTGTTGTTGTTGTTGTTGTTGTTGTTGTTGTTGTTGTTGTTATTATTATTATTATTATTATAGTAATAATAATTCGTTATTATAGTATAGTATTTTAATTAAATAAAATTATTTTAATTAAATAACAATATATATATTTAGTATTACAAATGATCATCCTTAATTAAATCATTTAATTTAAATCAGTCTATATATTTAGTATTACAAATAATCGTTCTTAATTAAATTAGATCATCATTAATTAAATTAACTCATAATTAATTAAATCTGCCTATATATTTAGTATTACAAATAATCATCATTAATTAAATTAAATCATCCTAAATTAAATTCAATCGTTCTTAATTAAATTATTTAAATTAAATCAACCTTAATTAAATCAATCCTTAATACAAAACGTAAAATCAGCCTTAATAACAACACAGAAACGCGAAATCATCCTTAATAACAACACAGAAACGCGGAATCATCCTATTAGCCAATTATTATTACTATAATTACTATTACAATTTATTATTATAATAATAATAACAATAATAATAATAATAATTACTATAATACTATCTCTCTCTCTCTCTCTCTCTCTCTCTCTCTCTCTCTCTCTCTATATATATATATATATATATATATATATATATATATATATATATATATATATATATATATATATATATATATATATATATATTAAAGCAAAATAATTGTCCCAAAAATTTTCCCTCCAAATGTGAAAATATTTATTGTATTCATATTAATTTATAAATAGATTCATGTAATTCCCCAAAATTTTCCCTCCAAATGTGAAAACATTTGTTGTATTCATATTAATTTGTATATTGATTCATGTAATTTAGCATGTTGAGTAAAAGAAGAATATAATATTATACTATTATATATATATATATATATATATATATATATATATATATATATATATATATATATATATATTAGTGATTATTATAGTAATAGTAAATCACATACAAAAACGCGGAATCATGCATCATATATATATTATAGTGATTATTATAGTAATAGTAATTCACATACAGAACGAATTTTTCACATACAGAAATGTGGAATCATGTATCCTATTAGCCTTAACGAAATATTATTACTATAAGTATCATTTACTATAATAACAACAACAACAACAACAACAATAATAATAATAATAATAATAATAATAATAATAATATAATACTATAATAATATACTATAATTACAAATTAGCCAATTTATAAATAAATTCATGTATTTATGTAATTTAACATGTTGAGTAAAATAAGAATATAATATTAGTTATTATTATTATTATTATTATTATTATTATTATTATTATTATTATTATTATTATTATTATTATAGTAATAATAATTCATTATTATAGTATAGTATTTTAATTAAATTTAATTATTTAAATTAAATCACCCGATATATATATATATATATATATATATATATATATATATATATATATATATATATATATATATATTTATTTATTTATTTATTTATTTATTTATTTATTTATTTAGTATTACAATTGATCATCCTTAATTAAATTAAATCATCCTTAATTAAATCATTTAAATTAAATCAGCCTATATATTTCGTATTATAAATAATCATTCTTAATTAAATTTGATCATCCTTAATTAAATTAAATCATCCTTTTTTTTTTAAACCAACCAGAAGAACTTCATTAAAACATGGTCGCAATACTATCAGGAGGTGTCAACAACTACTCTCCGAGGACAGAGTTAGAACCAGCCACCCGCGCTAGCGTGTGAGCGATCTGATTCGCTGACCTTCTAACATGACAGACCCTTACGGTCCCCATGCTTCTTGCAGTCATAAGACACTGCATAACTACAGAGCCAACATAAGATAAATAAGTTTTAGAAGAATTGGAACTATTACAGAAATTGAGACTATCTGATTCCACTATATAGTCAGCAGCCGAACGGTCTTTTAACCAAGCCAATGCTTCGTTAACAACCATAGCCTCCGCCATGTACGGCTCATTCCCGCAATGCAACACCCCGCTTCTAGCCCCCATGAAGCTGCCGGCGGTGTCCCGTAACACCACCCGAAATGTCGGCACATCCCCATTCAGGATTGCGTCAACACTGCATAGTAGAAAACCAATAGGAGGCGGGTTCTAAAGCGGAGC